CTCCCGCGTCCGACCGCCTTTTAGCGTGGAAGAAACTTGTGTGTGGTCACGTATCGGTACAAGTAACAGCAAAGAACACAGAGCGGGAAGACCCCCCCAGAGAGCATACGAAGAGCGGGGCCTCCACGGGAAGGGAGGCCGGCCAGTCTTCCAGTGCACGGGAAGGACCCACCTGGAGCCCGTTCCGTCCGCACAGCAGGGCCCGTCTGGTCTCCTGCACGCACGTGTGGCCACTGGTCAGGCTGGCCGCGACTTGGGTTGTGCCCCGAAGACTGTGTGGGCAGCCAGGAAGGTTCGAGCAAATCGGCCTGAAGCCTGGCTCGCAGCCCAGGGGGCAGGCGAGGAAGCGCCGGTGCCGGTGCCTCCCTCTGCACCAGGAGTTCCCACTCGCCGGGTCCGGCCTCTGGCACCCCTGCCGTTTACTGGGTCAGAGGAGCGTCAGGCCTTCTAGCAACCGCAGGGACTTTTTCGAGGCGACTTTGAAACGCACGGTGTGTGAGCTGTCAGCCCACAGGGCAAGAGAGCGGTGTCTTCCCTGTGGGAGGGCGTAACCGGCCACGCTCACCGTCTACACAGCAAGCCAGGTCAAAGGCAGCTGCCGGCTCCGGAAGGTGTTCAGCCGTGGGGACTGTCATCCTCCCGCGGCCCCTCCCTCCTCCTCTCCTTTCAGAAGCCTCTCTGCCCGCAGGGCCACCCTGACTGCTACAGCCCTGCGCGGGTCTGCGCTCAGGGACAGCGGCAAGGAGGAAGCCGCTGGACACACAGTGGGCAGGAGCGGCCCTGTTCCCTCTGGGCTCCTCGGCTGCGAAATTTGAAGGCCGCCTGCCCGCCCGTGGGCGAGTCACAGATACCACCGTGGGCTGGGGCCCGGTGGGGCCGGTCCTCTGCTCTCGTGGCGGGGGCTCCGTGCGGTAGGGGTCCGGCTTCACGGCGGGCGCGCTCCTGCAGGCCGGCGCTCTGCTGCCCGGCACGTGGGGAGGTCTCTCCACGGGCCTCTCGAGGCAGCACCGCAGCCCTGACCCCGTCTGTGGTGCATCCCCCGTGCGTCTGGCTCCCGGGCCCGGGGCGCGAGGGGAGTGGAGAGCTAGGAGCCAGGGAGAGAGGGCCGCGGGGCTCCGGGCACACGTGGAGTCCCGACCTGAGCTGACCGCCTGTCTCCCCCTGTCGTTCTCACAGTGCAGTTTGACATGATGCGCGCCTGCAACCTGGTGGCCACGGCGGCACTCGCTGCGGGCCAGCTCACCTTCGTCCTGGGTCTGACGGGCCTGCCCCTGATGTCGCCCGATTCACAGTGCTGGGAGGAGGCCATGGCCGCCGCGTTCCAGCTGGCGAGTAAGTAGCCTCGGGCCCCGGGCAGGCAGAGCGACTGCACCCTCAGCTCGTGGGGGGCTGCTGGGCCCACTGTGGCCTTCTCCTGTCACCACAACCCGTGTGGGTCACCCTCTGGCCCGTCGCTGGGGTGGAAATGACACAAAAACGCGCATGGGGAAGTGAAGACACAGGAAGCATCCGGATGGGTATTTCTGTTCACTCCTGAGCTCCTGCCTTTTTCCATTTTAACACCGGCTGCTGAGGCTCTAGAGTGACCTGCTCTGCTTCCCACAGTCTGGGACCACGCAGCCGGTGTGGCTGGTGGTCTGGGCTCACGGTCCTCCCACAACAGTGCAGCAGCCTGGCACAGGCAGGGTGAGAGCCCCCACCTGAGCCCACGCCCCTGCCTTCCCCGCTCACATTGTGCTAGCGGGGAGGTCTGGGCAAGCTCGTGGTTCCGGCCTGGCTCAGCTACAGGCCCTTTTTCGTGAGCAGCAAAAAGCAGAGAGGACACCAGTGTCCGAGCATACGCGCCGTGTCCTGGCACCCAAGCCCACCGCCCGTGCTGCCACGGGAGCGGGCCGGGAGGCCGCAGAGTGGCGAGGCCTTAGGGGCGGCTGTTGGGGGTAGCAGGACAGGGAGGGTGCGGACGCACCCGTGGTCCTGAAAAGCTGAGAGGGGCGGTGGGAGTCGTAAATGAGGAGTGCGACTCTTCTGGGAGGTTCCACGCAGGTAGCCACGGAAGCTGTCCAGGTGACCCCGGTGAGTAGAGGGGCTTCTCTGCTGGTGTGCCCTCGGCTCTGGCCGCCGGCTCAGTTTTCCTGATCACCGAGACCTGGGGGCAGTTCGGGTCCCCCGTTGCCTGCTGGGGAAAGCACGATCGCGGCCCGAAGCGGGGACGGCGTGGCCAGGGTGTGGGGACGTTATCGGCCGACCCGCTTGCCTCTCCTGCCAGCAGAGAACTGCAGCAGGCCCCAAAGTTGAAGGTACAGTTCCAACAAACCCGGCGAAAGAAACGGCAGGAAGTCTGAAGTGAATCATTCCGGGAATAATGGCCCCCGGCCCTTATCTTTCTGGAGAGGGAAGCTGACCGACTGGCAGGAATTCACACGCTGCGAGTGACCCGGGTGGGAATCGGGAATTGGAAACAGGCCTTCCTGCGCCTTTTCATAGAAGGCGGGTGGTCCTGGGCCGGTCACTTCCCCACGGCCCCGTCACCCACAGGGCCTGGGAGCACAGAGGGCCGACCAGGCGGCTTCCAGGAAGGAGTCGCCTTGGGGCAGGGGTGCCGGGCATGCACACCGGCTCTGCCACCCGCAATCCGTGGGGGTCGGGGCAAACCGCCAGCCCACCGGCCCCTCTGTCTGCCCCCAGCAGGCTGGTCTTGAGAATTAAAGAGGCAGGTGGGCTGGGATGTCTGATCACCTCGGCCTCTTTGCCTCGTCCACGGCTGCGGGTACAAACACAGACATCCCAAAGGACGGCGGCCGTTCAGAAAACTACCCCTCTGCCCTCTGCTGACCTTAGGGCCATAAGGCAGAAACGGGGTCCTTGGCCTCGTGGAGACTGCCCACCCCTACCACAGGGAGCTTATCTGAAATTCCACCCCTCCCAGAAGGAAGTGGAAGATTAGGAACAGACATTCAGTGACAACCTAGCAAAGAAAGGGACAGATCTAGATCCTGGAAGTAACTCCCTGCGGCAGCCCAAATGGACCACGGCATCTTTTATTAGAATTACCGGAGAGAAATGGCAGGTTTGGCGTCGAATGGTCAGCTCGCTTCCTGCGAGCCCTCACTTCAGAGCAAGACAGTGTTGTTTCCAGATAACATAGTTTTGAAAAGGCAGCCCGGGGGCCCCGTTAGGTAAACCCGGCTGCCTGGCGGCAGCCCAGGCTGTCCCGCGGCCTGTCCTGCCTGTGGGGCAGGCGCTTTCTCTCCGGGGTGTTTCCAGACCGTGGGGCCGCCGCGCACAGACCATCACACAGGCGGAGGCCGCCGGGAAGAGCCAGGAGAGCCGAGGGGCACTGGGGCCCCTCCTGCCCCTGCAGGCGTCTCCTGGTGGCGCCCTGCCCTCACCCCCACAGGTCTGTTTTGCCCAAAAAGGAAATGCACTTGGCCGTGTTTAGACTTGTTTCATTGACAAACAGTACAGAACGCAGCCGTGTGCCTTTCTGCCACCACGCTGCTAATTTTAGAGTTAGGTTTTTTCCTGTGCTCTGGTCTGCTTTAAACAGTCAGGGAGAGACTGAAGGGCGCCGGGATATCCTGTCCCAGGAGGGGAAATGCCTGCTGGTACCTGTTATGCAAGCGAACCTTCAGTCCCCAGTGCCGGGGCCAGAGGGTGGGCAGCAGGGAGAGACGGTGCAGGCGAGTCCGCGGGGCGGCGGGGCGAGCTGGAGCGTGCAGGGGCCAGACTCCCTTCCTGTCCGCCGCTCTGTCCCTCACACCTGCTCCAGCTGCCACACGGGAGGTTCCCGCCTCCTTGTAGAACTTTCCACGTGTAATTCTAATTTGCTTTAGAGTTGGAAACGCTTTCTGTCCCTTATTCCACCTCCACCCACAAGTTTAACATCCCCGTGTGGCCTCCACGTGCTCCCTGTGACAACAGCTCCCATGGGGGCTGTGGCGGCCTGGCGGACCCCATCCCAGGGTGAACAGCCGCCATGGGCGGCCCCCTGCTATGGCCATGTGCCCATACAGGCTCCTGGCAGCTGGCTCTGCTGACCCTTCCCCTGTCCTTTATTCTCTCGCTTGCCCGTGTCTGGTCTCCCTGCTCGTGTGCACGAAACGCACGGTCATCCTGGTCTGATGACCGCAGGCAGGTGGCCGTCGGACCCTGCATCAGACACCTAAGCGACACCCAGGGCGAGACAGTCGAGGGCGGCTTTGGCAGGCGGCCTGCCCGGCAGGCGCGTCACAGGGAGGCTCCTTTGCTCTGGAGGGTTCCTGAGCATACCGGGGCTTTTCCTGGGGCATCGAGGTGCTGCACCAGGCTCCGAGGCCCTGGATGAACCACCTCACCCTGTGCTCTCGGGCAGCCGGGACCCGAGGTGCAGGCTCAGCCACACCTGCCGCTGTGATTACCCTGACCTCCAACCTCGTGTCTGCTGGGGATGCCACAGGGCAGCGTCGTCAGGGCTCCTGGGTCAGCCGAAGACTCCCCATGGAGCCTGGCGTGCGTGCCGGAGCAGCCAGCACCGGGGAGGGGAGTCTCCTCCTTGCCAGAACATTGGCGGCTCCGAACTTTCCTAAGTTGACCCCACCTATGGCTTGTGAGGTGCCAGTGGCCCCCGGGCTCCAGCTGCCGTGCGGGAACCAACCAAATCTGTCCCCCGGCGGATTATTTCCAGGTGGGACACTCTCACCGCTATTCAGGGCTCTGTTCCTCAGTCGAGCTGCACCTTTGAAGGGCAACTCCCTGGTCGTCGCGGAAGTGGTCTCAGAGCACCGTGGCCGCGGGTGCACGTTCAGGCTGGCCTCCCTGCAGTAACTGCATTGAGCTCTCCTGGGGGCGAGACCCCAGTCCCGAGAGCCCTCGGCTAGCAGTCTCTGCTTCTTGTCTTGCCTGATGACGCGGTGGGGGACCCAAGGACTAGGCCGCTCATCTGTTCCCTCCTCCACACCCCTCCCTCACCCCCACTGCTCACCGGAGAGCATGTGCGGCACCTCCCAGCCCCTCCGGAGACCGGGAAGTCCTCCCGCGCTGCAGCAAGGGCCCCGACGGCCGACCCGGGCTGGGCCCACTGTGTCGGGGATGCCCAGGGGCGCTGAGGAAAACTCCAGTCCCTCTGTGATGTCCCAGCATGGGGCCCGTAGTCCAGGCGTCCCACTTCCCTGGCTTTGGGTCCACTGGTGACAAATCGACCGTGGTGTAAGGCTTCTCCTCCGTCTCAAGCGTCCGCGACTTTGTAACGTTTGATGTGACTCTTGGTTTACGATTTATTAGCTTTGATCCTAAGTGGCCCCTCATCTCCACGTCTGCAGAATCTCAGTCCAGCCTCCTCGTCTGTCATCCGAGAGGCCCTGCAGCTTTTTCAGACCGAGGGCTTTCCGTACAGCACAATCCCACCACGAAACGCTGTAGTTTGAGGACAGATGAACAACCGACTCGCGCAGGCCAGTGTTCTGCGTTGTGCTGAACCCCTTCATGACAGCACCAGGCTGTCCTCGGGACCCCTGTCCAGTGACTCCTCACGTCCTCTGGGCCGCTGACGAGCAGCCCCGAGCTCACAGGCTTATGCTCTGTCCCTTGGCACTGCACAGAGTGCAGGGTCCCTGCACACGTGGCCCGGCCAATGGACGCCAACCTTCACCCGCCCGCTCCTCCTCCAGACGCGAAGCCTCCGGAACTCCAGCGGGACGACCCTGGGAGCAGAATCATGGCAGAACCTCCTGGGCCCCGAGTCTCTGGCTTCCTCTCTCTGCTTCTGGAAATCAGCATTTTTTTTTTCTTGGGATGGCAAAATTTACATGCACACTGAGCACCCCGTGCCCGTGAGAACGCTGATGTCGTCGGTCCTGGCGGCTCGTGAGCTGGTGGGGATTCTGCCATTCGTAGGCTCGGGGATCCTCTCATGGGAATATCTGAGTTTTTGTTTTTCACGAAGAACAGGGCTTGGCTTGGTCTGGACAGAGTGCTCTTCTGTCTTTGGCCCCTGCCTCCACAGTGCTGGTCTGCACCCCGACCACATCCTGCGTTTGTCGCTCACTTCCACGTCCTCTGGGGGCCTCGGCGCCCTCAGCCCTGGCATGCGAGGCGCCGCGTGGGAGCTGCAGCTCCGTGGAAAGGTGACCGGACCCGTCGAACCTTCAGCTCTTCCTTTCCCAGAATCCCTCCCTCTAGGAAGGAGCGTGTGGACCCCGTCACTCTGCTGTTCACAGAAGCTGGGACATCCCAGCTGCGGCCGTGCCGAGACGGGCCATGTGCTCTTTGTCTGGGAACGGTCTCCCTGGAAGCCGTCACGACACCTATGTCGCAGGCACCACGGGGCAGGCGTGCTGTGTGAAGGTTCAGGGTTCAGCTGCACGGTCTCTCCTTACGCCACCTGCGTGTGCTCGACAGTCACTCCAACAGGAAGGCCCTGTGACAGGCACCGCAGCCCTCGGAAGCAGGCAGGAAGGAAGCGAGGGGAAAGGGACGCCGTGCAGGCCGAGCTGTGATTCGCAGCGCCCGCGTGGCCGGCTCACAGGAAGCGGCTGTTTGCTTTGGAAACAGATTCGCGAGAATGGAACTGGCTCCGCATGCAGAATTCAGGCTGTGCTCACACTCGCCCCTTTTGTGTGTTTCTGGACAGACGTGACCATCGCTGACAAGTCCTGGGAGAGCCGCCTCCAGGACACTCCCAGGGGGGTCTCCACACCACATGCCAGAGCCGGGAAGCCTGTGGTTTGAGGCCAGCGGGGCCGGGGCTCCTTCCCACACCCGGGCCCCTTTCCCCACAGGAGAACTTCATGAAGGGCCACGTGCCTAATGTGCCCCATCCTTTCCACTGCCGACACAGGGCACACAGGACATCCCCGTGTCTGTGCGGTTCGTACCGCCCCCGGGGACCCAGACGGGGGTCACCTGTCCTCGCGTGACCGGACGGAACATCCCCCTGCGTGGCTCGGGCGTTTCTCGCGGTTCTGTGCTTGCACCGCTGTTCTGGCAGGTTCTTTGCATCTTCCCGCTTGAGGAGAGGCTTTTCTAAAGTCATTTTTTAATGTTGGGGAGTCAAGCTTTTCTCTGACCACACGTGTTCTGAGTTGAACTGGTCTTTACACAGGATGAGTCATGTCAACGCAGATTTTTAAACCAGTTTTCACTATAGATTTCCCCCCCACTTCTAGAAAAAAGAGCCAAGTAAGGTGCAGCCTCTGAACCAAGCCAGAGAGGGGAGACGCACCGCAGACTGTGCTCGAAACCCGCCCGGTGCCGCCTACCGCCAGCCGGACTCTTAAGATTCCGTCCGGCAGGCTCCACGTTGACACGGAGCCGCCACCTCTGTCACCCACGACTGCGGGACGTGGGCGCCACACGCAGCTCGTTGGTGCACCTGTGAACTCTTGTTCTTTACTCTGTCCTCCCCCGCCCGTTCCTTCATCTCTAACATGAAAAAAGTTACTCGTCACCGGAGGCGGCTCCACGCTGTGACGCCAGAATCTGAGCATCGTGTGGGCCGCACGGCCCCAGGGAGGGGGCAAGAAACAGACTCGGACGGCAACAGGAGACAGCGACCCTGCTTTCAGAAATACGCGATGCTCGTCTTGAGAAAATAAGCAACAATACATTTCAGTAACCCCGTGAGGCCGGCCAGTGTGGGCCCGAGGGGCACCTGCCACTCGGGGCTCGGACGGCACGTGGGTGCTGGGTGGGGGTCGGAAGCCGGCGGCCGCTCCGCCCACACGCTTCGGGGACGGGTCCCGTGAGTCAGGGTCTTCAGTGCCTGGAGGTGCCCCGTCCACAGGTGGCCACCCTCCGGGAGGGTCTGTGCCGGCTCGTGCCTGCTTCCCCGGCGCAGTGTTCCCCCACCTGCGCTCACCGTGCTGGGCCAGGGCTCACCTCCCTGGTTAGCCCAACAAGAGCGCCGCTTCGGCTCCCCGAGGACGCGTCAAGCCTCCGCACAGCACACGCGTGTGGAAACCAGCAGAGGGGGCAGAGTGGGCACTGGCACGTCCCGCTGTGGCTCCAACGCTGAGAGACGCCATCGTGGCTAAAGGGCCCTGTCCCTCCAACGGGCTTGGGTGCTATAAAGTCGCTCTTTGTCATGCCTCCTTCCCAGAGGCCCACGCTGCATTTAATTCCGCACCACGGGATCTAGTTGGTTTGTCTCAAATAATTCACTCCGTAAGTGATTCCTGGAAGGCCCTCCGGGAGGCCTCCCGCCAGCCCAGGGGTGACAGTGGGGGACAGGCCGGGCGTCCAGGCTGAGCTCCGAGCGCAGTCTTCCTCCCCAGGGCTGGGCCAGCACGGGCCGGCTGAGCCAGCAAAGGCCCGGAGAGGCTGGAACCCGGGTTCCCGGAGGAGTGAAAAGGGGCCAGCGTGGCTGCAGCCTAACAGAGGGCAGAGGCGGAGACTCGAGGCCTGGCAAAGGCGGGCGGCCCGGCACCCGCCTCTGAGTGACAGGCGCCTTCTCCCTTCCGGTGCCGGTGAGCTAGGGGGCCTGGGTCCTTCCGGCTCAGGGCCAGCTCTGCACCGGCCTGTCCCGAAATGTCTCGCGACGGACTCCACAGACCCGTCCTTACTCTTTAGTGCTGTCGGCCGACCCCAGTCAGCCGCGGAGCTGGGGAGGGGCTGTCCACCCCCACAAACGATGCTGCAGAACCGGGGCTCAGGCCGCAGAGCAGAGGTTTACAGACATTCCTATAAGCAGCGCAAGGACGCCGGACGCCGGCAACGGGCGGGCACAGACTTGGACCGCGGCGGCCATTCGGGTGAACCCCTTCCCACCCGCTGGCGTGCCCTCTGCTCGGCCTGGCTCCCTACAGAAGGCTCCCGCCTGCCCTGTGGGAGCACCCGTCCCGGTGCCTCCTGGGTGACCTCAGGCACGACCCTGCGCGTTCGCCTGCTTTCCCGGTGCTCCCTGCTTGCCCCATCCTGCCAGGCCTTGTGGAAAATGGTGCACAAGGAGCTCCCTTCGCCGGCAGAAAATGCCCGAAGACACAGAGAACTGAGGGGCACACACCAAGTGTTTTCATTGTCATGGCACAAAACACAGACTCGAACTCCTTTCCCCGACAACACAAAACTTGGGGCCACAGAACGACGAGCAAGGGATACACTCTTCACCGGGAGAGAGAAACGCCAGAAGATTCTTTCTGTCAGTGTGCATGACAAAGAGAAATAGTTATTTTTAACAGAAAGGAAGTATCCAGAAGCTTTCTGTGTATAAAAAGCTCTCCTAAGTACTGCAGAGAATTAACAGAGATTAGTCACTGCCACTATTGTTTAGCACATGACTGGGGTGGATCAATGTTTAATTCATGCTTTCTGGAAGGTGCCGCGATAATGACACCGTGCTGCTTGTGAAAGCTGGCTCCCCCCTACCCCTGCCCCCGTCCTGCACTAATTTATAAGTTTCCAGAACCATGAGCTGGCACCACTGCGGCTCAGCTCCGGGGCCACGGGGGTCGTGCAGGGTCTGGTTTCCTGAGGAAAGCAGGGGAGGCTGTGGGGGACGGAGGGACCACAGGAACAGACGGACGGATGTCACAGCACAGGGCGGGGGAGGGACCACAGCGGGAGGCTGGCCTGGCCAGAGCCCAGGGCGGGGGACACGGGCGAGTCCGGCAGGCGCCCAGGGTTCCGTCCGGATCACTGTAAGAAGCTCTGTCCTCGTCAGGTGCTTTGGGTTCCAAGACACGGCTTCCCCTAGGTCGCCACAGCAGAGGTGTGGTGAGAGCCGCCCAGGCCCCTGCTTCTGCCCAGCCCTCCCTGCCCTCTCCAGCCACGCCAGCCACTCCGGCCACGGCTCCGGCTCGGCATCACGCCTCCTCGCGGCCTCATCCGGCGCCTCCTGGCTGAGGGGTCGGAGACCCACACAAGGAGTGGCGGGGCCTCTCCTTCGTGCCCGTAGGGGCTCCCGGCCCGGACTCAGCCCTGAACTCTATCAAACACCAGCGTCCTGTTATCCTAGGCGGCAGGCCCCAGGCACGAAACCTGCATTTCCCTGAGGCAAGAGCCGATAAACTGGGAGAGTAAGGGACGCCTTACTTTCGAATGGAGCATTTCTGCAAGCCGGGAGCAGCTCACGCAGAGGAAATGGCCCGGCCCTGCTGGACCAAAGGGAGAGTGCGCCGGGACCAGGCAGCCTTCTCGCGGGGCCCCCGGAAATTGTTCCATGCTGGGATTAGACGGCCCCCCAAAGGTCATAAAGGCCCACAGAGGCCAATGAAAAGCGGCTCCACGCTGAAGCGTGGCACACAAAGGGGCGACGGCCCACAGGGGGAGCAGGGGCTGCGTGTCCGCAGGGCTCTACAGACCGAGTGGCCGGTCCTGCCCCAGCTCCACACGGGCCTTTCTGAACTCTCCTCTCTCACTTGCAGGTTTCGTCCTGGTCATTGGGCTGGTGACGTTCTACAGAATCGGCCCGTACACCAGCCTGTCCTGGTCTTGCTACCTGAACATTGGTGCCTGCCTCCTGGCCACCCTGGCAGCCGCCATGCTCATCTGGAACATCCTTCACAGGAGAGAGGACTGCATCGCACCCCGGGTGATTGTCATCAGCCGCTCCCTGACCGCGCGGTTCCGCCGAGGGCTGGACAACGAGTACGTGGAGTCACCGTGCTGAGGGCCGCTGGGGGACACCTGCCCAGGACTTTCTCCACTATAACCAAACAGCGTAGAAGCCGCAGGGCTGTCCGTGCGGGCCATCCGTAGGGTTTCCCATATATACATGTACGACCCACAGCTACGTTTACTACGTTACACATAAGCATATTACGTGGTTATATACCGCCTGCGCCACGCGCCTGATGCGCCCACCACTGGGCTTCACTGTCCGCACGTTCCAGGAGGAGAGCAGCTCCTCGGGTGCAAGGACGGCAGCCAGCTCACTCTGCGCCTCGGTCTAGGATTAATTTATTCTCTATCTGCTGAGGGGTGGGTCCTCGGTCACATTTACTTTGGTAAAGCAGACTACCCGGGAAGATTTTCCGGAACGGTCCGTGATCTTCCTCGAGTGACTTAGAATTTACAACCAGATGGCTACGGTTTTATGACAGGACTGTGTCAGTAATGTCCGTTTTGCTCCTGATTATTTTTCTAAGTTAAAATAAAATGCAAACTTCCCACCACTGTCTAAAACTCGTGTTTTATCCATCACGCTGCCACGCGGGTGAAAAGAATTTGGTCTGGCCTTGTGGCATTTTGTGGGCCGGCAGGAAGAGAAGGCTTGAAACATTTTTCAAGGCCCGGTGGGAAGACACCTGTGGGTCGCTCAGGCCCTTACACTCCTGCGCCACCAAGGGCCTGCAGACGAACACTGTGGTAAGACAGATCCTCCACTGGCAGGGTAAGGGGGGAAACGTTTATTTGTTTAAGAAAATTCAGAGAGACCGCTTTACGCTTTTCCCCCTATGAAAACCTTCAACCTAGCTTCAGCCAAATTCTGGGTGGTCTACAGATGCCTTCGTGACACGACACTGATTCCAAATGACACTGGTCCTAAATCGGGAGGAGGTGAGTCAGCTGTTACTCCCCAGGCCGAACGGAAAACACTGAAGAGTTGCACTTGAGGGGTTCAACGCCGGCCCTCACCCTCCAGAACCCCGGATGCCTGTCCACATCTGTCAGGACAGAGTGCCCACCGCACCCACCTGGACGCTTCCTGTGCACTGAAATGCTTGGCCCTGCGCCACCTGGCGGCAGTGATCCCCAGGAAGCTGACACTGGGGCCCGCGGGTAGCAAGCACACCAAACCAGGGTCAGATCAGAGGCCCGCTGGCCGCCTCCCCCAACATGAGGCCGCCTCCCCCCAAGCCAGGCCGCCTCCCACTAAAAAACGTTAAGCCTCGCTCTTTCGACCTTCTGGTGAGCATGAGGTAGCTGTGTGGAGCCTGTCTTCAGTGAGACAAACAGTGCAGTGCGGCTCGTGCTTTAAAAATCATAATGCAATTGAGAACGACTGAAAAGCATCTAAAGCTTGACCATTTACAATAAACTCATCACATGCTGTAGAAATAACCAGATTTGCGTCCCGCCCCAGCTCACTCATGGGAACGTTTAAGTCTGACCTTCCTCCCTCCGAGCTTCCTTCCACAATGGACCCTTCCGCACCCCCCAAGCACATGCTAAAAATAATAGATTTTTAAAAGAATAATGAAACAGTTAAGATGTACAATTTCAGGGGCGCCTGGGGGGCTCAGCCAGTTGAGCGTCCAACTTCAGCTCAGGTCATGATCTCACGGTCCGTGAGTTCGAGCCCCACATCGGGCTCTGCGCTCACAGCTCAGACCCTGGAGCCTGCTTCAAATTCTGTGTCTCCCTCTCTCTCTGTCCCCCCCACCCCTTCACTGACTCTGTCTCTCTCAAAAATAAATAACGTAAAAAAAGATGTACGATTTCATAATATTACACATACGACTATGCTAAGGCACATTAAAGTATTAAAGCTAACCACGTAGCTGTGATTGTGTTTATGGTAAATGAAAGGAGGCCAGAGAAAGACTGGGCTGTGCCATCAGCCCCTCTGGTTCACCTGTCAAGTGAAGAGTCCTCTCGTAGAGAGGTCAGTGTGGACACGGCCTGCTCCAGAAACAAGGTTTGGCCACAGTTTTAGAAATAAGACAAGGGACTGAGAGTCATGCGCTTGTTTGAAAAGTACCATCACTGCAAACGAGGGGCTGTTCTAGGTGACAGGTTCAGTTTTCATCTCTGTGTTCCCGCTTCACTTTCACCACGTAATAATTTTCCTGCCCTTCGGATGTGAACGCCTGTAAATGCTCTTGAGAAGAGTTGCTGAATTCTCTCAGGAATGGAGACGAGGCTGCTTGGACACAGCCTTTGATTAAACATTTTAGAGCATGGGGCGCCTGGGGCGGCTCAGTCGGTAAAACGTCTGACTTTGGCTCAGGTCATGATCTCGGGGTTCATGGGTTCGAGCCCCACATCAGGCTCTGCACTGACAGCTCGAGGTCTGGAGCCTGCTTGGGATTCATATTCTTTCTCTCTCTCTCTCTCTGCCCCTCCCCTGCTCATGCTCTGTCTCTCTCAAAAATAAACATTAAAAAAAATTTTTTTTTTAATTTAGAGCGATTTTAACTGTGTTTCCCCGTACTGTTTCAGGTGTCTGTTACCGAAGCCTTCCTGTTTAGTAGCAATTATTCCCAGAGGAACAGGTACTGCGAATATCTAGCGACTGCAGAACTTTTGACTAGGAGGTACCCGGAACACTTAAAAATCAATCAAATACACAGCAGCCCAAGAGACTCTGAGCCCAGCAGAGGGGAGCTGGGCTTGCCCACGCCCTGCTGTGCTGCCTAATTCACCTGCCTCCATGGGTGACAAACCAGGAGATCCTCTGTGACACAGTCACAGAAGAGTTACTGCTTCTCAGAACCTCGAGAAGCGACAGAGGCCTACAGAGAGGCTCCCGGAGGTGCACACGTGCCCTCATACCTCAGCGAGCAGAGTCCTCACCTTTTGATGAGCTTGATACATTTCAAAGCTTCATCCATGTCTCCGATGGTGACAAAGAAGCTGAAGTCGAGCATGGCATCCTGAGTGGGCTTATCGCAGCTCTCCAGTCCGACGAAGTCTCGCAGGGGTCTCCTGCCCACCAGGTGGGGGACGCGGTGGCGCCCTGGGTCCCCCTGGTCTTCCCCGTCTGCTTCTCCTGGCTGAATGACAAAGGACACCGTTAGCTGTCGGGTCGGGGAAGCGGATACGCACACTGAGCCTCTGCTCGAGACGCGTGCCCGTGCGCAGAGGTGGCCGCCGTCCCTGCCGGGCACCGGGAAAGCTGTGGGCGCCGGTTTCAGGCAGCAGAAAGCACAGGCTGTCCCGCGTAGGGACCTGTCCCTCAGCCTCTAGCTCATGAATGCCGACCCCTCGGTTACTCCACAGCCTCGAGAGGTCTCGCTGCCAAGCCAGGCGCTCTCGCACGGGCACGGGGCCCTAGAATCAAGTAACTCCAACGCGATTTCCGGCAGAACTTTCCAAAGCCGTAACCCAGATTAGTCTTGTGCCCTCACTGATGTTTTTCAGAAGAACCACTGACCCTGCGCGGCGCTTCCCAGACGGGCCTGGGGAGACAGTGTGCTGACGGCACCTGGGCCCTCCCCCTCCCCACCCTGCTCCCTTCCGCCCAGCCTGGTGCTGCTCTGCTCCATCTCGCCTGGGGCCCACACGCGCCCCGCCTCCCGCATCATCCGCTTTTCTCTCTGCGAAGGCCCCAGTTCTCTGCCTCTCTAAAGGTGGTCACGGCCCACGCTCCTTGGACCCGGCTCCCCTGGCTAGTCCCTGGTCTCCTGGGACGTTGTCATTGATAACAAGTGTGTACTCGGTCACTCAAACGACCATACATTTCTTCACCACAGATTCACAGCTCATAGCTGCTAAAATCCCTGGAATTTCCCCGTGATAAGGCCTTAGAATGAAGGTGACTTTGGGTCTCTGCCCAGGGGCAGGGTGGCTGCCGGGAGGACCCGCCACGGATCAGAGGGCTCCAGCGAGGCCTCCATAACCGCCCAGGACTGCGACCGCAGGCCTCCGGGCAGGGAGGGGTGGGGGGAGTGGCACCCGGTGAGGACTCCAGCACTCGGGAGCTCTGCGCCCTCCCCGGACGGACGTGCCCTGTGCGTCTCTTCATCTGGCTG